TGTGGTACATTCCCAACGTTTCGCCGGCATCGTCAGTGAGTTTCGCCATTCTCGTCAAAGGATCGGCTTCACTTGTCTCTTTGACGAGTTGTTGTGTGGTGCTAAGAATGGCGATACTCACTGAAGATGCCGACTACGATGCCGGCGAAACGTTTGGGAATGTACCACGTCCACGGTTCAACTTTGGAAATGATCATGCAGAAAATGGACCCCAGACTAGGTGTGTTCCAGTAAGTCTTCCTACCAATATGACCATGTCGCGAAAACAAGGTCAAACAACTTCGTATTTACGTTTAAAAGAATTTTAGTTTTGAAACTATTAGAAGGGTTGATTAAGGCTGAGTTCCCCCAGTCTCAACTAGTTTCGACTGCTTTCCCTCTGCGACAATTTGGATAGGATCTTGTTAGTCGAGGGCCAAAAAGGCTGTTTCTCAACTCTCAATTCTCCACTTCGATTCCCGTTATGAGGGCGGATGAAAGGAGCAGATATGGTCTAAACTACAGTCCAATTGTGACGAGAACGGCCTTTTCGATGCATGCAATTGCAACAATTCATCTCATTGTACAATGCAAAGACCAGTCAAAACTGGTATATCTTACCAGAAAGTCTCAACGAGAGCTCATATGAAGTGCGTAAGTAAAGAATAGGGAATACCACTAAATCAGAGCTATGAGGTGTGCTCACTCTATTTGGTTTAAGGTAATGAAGTAGAGGTGATTAAATTTTCCCACAATCATATGAGTAGACCCTACCTTTGTCATTTCACATAGCCTTGCTTCCCCAAAGATATTCTCTTCGAAAGGTGGACTATAGGTTCAAAGTTTGGTCATCTCATGTTTGTGGAAAAATTTAACTCCTATTCCTTCATGACGTTAAACGAAATAGGGTGAACACATATCATTAATCTGATTTACTGATAGTCTTAAAACCTTAACAGATTCATTGAAACTCAGTTTCTTTTCGTGTTTAGCAAAAATTTGGATATTTCGGGACACTCGAGGTTTCACCGACCTCGAGACTCTGCTATTCTCGATGCCTGTAGGACTCTTCACAGAATTTTCAGGCTTCGATGCCGTCGTCATGAAACGAATCCTCCGTAGAGCGTTACAGATAGTTTCAAGGCTTGCAAAATGTACACACGGCACGATTCGACTCCCATCGAGGCTGCCGACGCATGGATGGGGCGTTGAATGTAAAGAGCGGCTGTGCCAAGCGGGACTCAGAGTCGGCCACGTCTTGGAGTCGGAAGGACAGACGTCCGAGACTTCCTCCTTCGATCGATACACCCTGGCCCATCCGGCCCATCAGACGCTCAGCCATTGGCGGATGCAGTCTTGCGCCCCGCCTCGCCCACTCCGGGCGCCCGACGCCCGCTCTGATTGGTCCGCTCCAACTTCGCAAGGCTCTACTCCCACTGTCACGGTTCAATGCTTGCGGCCCGGCCCGGTCTGGCCCGAAATCGGCATTTCGACTGGCCGAGTCAGACTCGCCTCCGCGAAAGTGTCCACCAGCCTGTGCCGCTTCGGCGGTCTCTTTCTCTCTGGGCACCAGCGCACAATGGCCCCTTTCTCGGGGTCACACTTGCACCCTCCGTCGCGGTCCACCCCCAGCTTCGTCGCCGTCGTTACAACCTCAGCCCCAAGACCGACCTGCGTACTCCCATGTCCACCCATTCGCCCCTCGGATGGTCGGTACCAGCAATTGTGAGTGTGTCATACACCAATGTGTGTCGCTATTTGGGCCTGTCCATCAGTCAGTCAGTGTCATGTGTGTGTGTGTATGTGTTTGTCTGTATGCTTGCACCTGAGCACACAGACAGTCGACAAAAGAGTGTGCTTGTCGGCAACGGGGCCCTCGCAAATGGCATCAACAGTCGCGCCGAACGTCATGAGACCCCACTCTCACCCACCCACCCACCTACCAACCTCTACGCGTCTGTGGGTCGCTTTGTACCCGGTCACGAGTGTAGAATTGCCCGTTGGTTGGTCCAAATTCGCGCAGCCGCACACGCGTCTCCTGCCCGTCTCCGAGCGCCCGACCACCCGACCACACCAACCTCTTCCGGGCCTCGGTACCGGAGAGCCGGAAGCCGAGTGGAATGAGTAACTTCCTTGTCCATACATGCCGAAGGGACAGTCGTGTAGACAACCAAGTAGTACCACAACCCAGGGCCTGGGCATGACCGATTCAGTCTACACCTGCCATGCATAACTTGGGCTATGACAAATAGGCCATTTTTCGTCAAGTTGGCGATCGGCTCCACTGAATTCGAGCTCCAACAAGTTCGTTTCAGCGTAAAACGAAAAGCCGGCTTTCGAAGACTCCCTGAATGCGGTTTTTTGTGTGAAGAGGCGAGTAGAGGGGATTTTTAAGTTGTGACTGTAGATTTGAGCTACCTCGATTACTGCTTGTTAAACTTTCGCCCTTCATGTAATAGACATCGTCAGGGGATATCACGTTTTACGCGAATTCACCAAAATACGAAGACAAGTAAGTCAACTGACT